GCGAAATGACAAATATCAGTCTCATGTGAGAGCAAACATAAGCACACACATGACAGCAAACAGGTGAGTGCACACACATGTCAGCATACATTTTGAGAGCACCAATATGAGAACACACACGCACACATGAGAGCTCGAGCACAAGTATGACAGCAACAAAATGTGGGAGTGCATGTGCACTTTGAGGTTCACCCAGCGCTGCATCTGTCACCAAATCTGCGCTTCGCGGTCAACACACAGGTGCACCTGCCACGAAATCTGCACATCGAGGTTTACAAGTGCTGCGCCTGCTGCGATATCCGCACTTCAAGGTTTACGCAGCGCCACGCCTGCCACGAAATCTGCTTTAATTGTCAAGGTTCTGAAAGCCCTGCACTTGCCACAAAATCCGCACTTCGAGGTTCACAAAGCGCCGCTGCGCCTGCCACGAAAGGCGGGCCTTTCACTGTGTCTGCCCGATCCCCATGCAAACAGGGCTCCTCTTGCGCGCTTAACCCGCCTGTGCGGTTGACTGTGAAACCGGCGTCTGTCAGTTTTGTGCCTCGTTGGTGTGCGTGTTTTTGGACAATTCCCTGAGCTTCAGTGAAAATCCAGAGTCTAAGAGGATGCATCAAGTTTGCCAATGGAAGTCTAAGAGGACCACATTGAGCCGAAATCTTTCCAATCTCCTTGGGAGACCAGTCCGCGAGCTGCGAAGCCACCACTCCAACCGTCGTCGCGTCGCGCGAAGCCCTCCCCGCGGGATCGGTCATTGGCACGAGAGGCTGAGTCAGGAAGTCCGTGGGCAAAGGCACGATGTGATCAGCCAGGTTGGTGATGATCACCTCAGATGACAGTTTGGGCTGGTCATTTTCACCTCCAAATACCATTCTTGGATGGCAGGTTTCGTTTGCTTTTGACAGGTTGATGATGACATGTGACCACCTCAGCGCCCCTGACCGCCAGGTTGGTGAGGCCATCAGCCAGGTTGCTTCTGAAACAATCACTGGTTGGGTTTATTGTTCCGTCGGATCGACTGGGAAAGAATTTGTGGGGAGGTCCAAGGCGTGCGAGCGAGGCGTGCGGTGGATTTATCATGTCTTTTAGGTGCTTTTCAGTGATGATGCTCTGAGGATATCGATGTTCGCATGCCAAGTGCTTTTGGACTTCTTTTTTGGACTAGGGAAAGAACGTTGCAGCACTGATGAGAACCATGAGTGCTGCAAGCAAAAGAACATGGGAATCCGACGACAAATCCCAGCACCCCGGTGTCGTAGAGTAGCACAGAGTGGTGTGGCACGACCACCACAAAGATGTGCCGATTCATGGTGTCAAATCATGTTCACCATTGCCCCCTTTCCGCTTCCCTGCGTTTCGGCAATCTCCTTCGAAACATGGACCGATTGTGTCGGTTTTTTCCATACTCTCAAGGTTCATCCAAAAAGCATCAAAAAGCGCCTCAGACTCGAGAGTCCTTTGCAAAAAAATGGAAGAGATCTCTTTCTGCAGACCTGGAATGATATCAACATGATCATAGATTTGGCATGACCCGCAAAAAAACGACCCTCTACGACTTTACCTGAGGATGACTATTGCCTGATGAATTCGAACGGAAATCCTCAGTACAGGACTCAGCACTGCAGGGTGTTTCCAGCTCTGGATAGCCAGCTATCCCTATCCGACGCCCGGTCTGGACCAGGGCTGGCCAGCCCTGGTCGGACCAAAAGAAAAAGGTACAGTACCACCATCATGTTTGCTGATGAGATCGGAAGGAGACGTTCTGGAATAGTTCTCATCCCACTCACCCGCCCGGATGTTGTAGAACCACCACCCGCCTAAAAGATCCAGTCGTACCTCACCGAAGCTCAGGTTCCGGGGTTGACTGGACCCGACCCTGGCACCTGCAGAACAGGTGCTACTCATCACCTAAGAAGGTACGACTGGATCCCGGCCGGACAACGGAACGCCCGATTCGGCCCAGCGACGTGCTTCTCGGTGATGCTGGGGATGTCGGGTGTGCCGGAGAGACGCATCACCTGCTCCGGCTGCGGCATGGGCGGCTCCGAGATTACTGAGAAGGTCCATGTCGCACGCGAAGAAGGACGGGAGAAGGAAACCGAGGTCGAGGTCGAGGTCGAGTGCAGCCTGTTGATAGGGAAATCACGTTCCGAGGCAGACCTATTATAGCCCTGCATGTTATATGAGTGTTGCGGTGGATGATTCCTTTTGGTGGGTGTTGATAATGTGTGTTCAGCGCTTTGTGCACCTGGCTTGATGCAGACAGGCCAGCAAGAAGACCTTCCTGTCACCCTAGGCTCGTGCTTGGGCCCCTTCAATGCCAGATCCCAGGAACTCCAATGGAAACTTAACCTGGAGATCCTCTAACCAATATCTGTTCGTTCATTCGTGATCTTCCAGGTAGCCAGCATATCATCTATGCCCCAGAAAAAAAATATCAAGAAACATCAATCTACCAGGAGTCACAAAGGGGTGGTGTTTAGTCCCTAAGTGAGTGGATAATGGGCACCCCTAACCTCCAATAGGCACCCCTTTGTCATCAAGTTCCATGGAGGAGACCTCATGGCATCGACTTAAATCGGTCCTTTCATGTCTTTTCATACCAAAGTGGATGATTATGTTCAGTCTTTTCATGACCCACGCAGGCCTGGTCCTCAGTCATCTACCTTCAATGATTGGGGGGGGCACACTGATCAGTGATGGTTGGCTCGTCAAGGAGGCAATGTACTAAATGTTGAAACAAAAGCAGAAGGGAAACAATCATGAGAATTGAGCCGTGCTGAAGATTTGTATCCAAACACTCCATGAGAATATGATCCATATACGTTATCCTCTTGATATTCCATCTTAAGGGGAATGATTAGTCATTCGAAAGTAGATTGACCAATGAGAATGCGGGAATGCAGCACAGTGCCATTGCTTTGCTGCAACCACTCTCACCAACTTCCCCGGGCGGCCAAATCAGACTCTGAGCCGTTCTCAGCAACTCGTTCAGTTCCCAGCAAATCCTACTCAAATTAAGGGTCACCCTTGCCGACGCGATCTGCAGTAGATTGTCTTCAAACACTTGGATCACCCGTCAGACCAACGCCCGCCCCCTCCCACGACCGACAGTTCAGGCACCATCTGGAGCTCATCTTGCAGCATGTGCACCATACGGACGATGCCATTCCTTTGCTAAAAGGCGAGACTGGCGTGGTTATGGCAGCACTGAGACGTCCGTGACGGGATGCAGACCATGCATGAAGGCTGGCTTTCCTTCCCCGAATTCTTTTTATGGATGGAGACCCCTTGCTAAACGGTTCTGGAAAAAACATTGTGACAAATCGCACAGAGAGAAACATCTGAGGGTGGAGTCACAAATATTCTATATGGTGGAGTGGCCACCAAGATGTGTGAGAACGACGCCACCGCTGCTGCTGGGGCGGCGGAAAAGAAACTGCACCCTTCATCCAAGCCCTTCGTCCACCAAAAGTGGATGTGTTCAGATCCATTTGGCAGTGGGGCCCCTTTCACCCTGGTAGCTTGACCTCCCTTGTAGTCTATTCTATTCATTTTCGGTGGTCAAGCGGTCGGTCTCCCTGTTTCGATCCATAGCCATTTCCAGAAGACCCGCCACGAACTTCCAACACGGTCATGTTGAGGTCCATTTCGTGAACCCCAAAACCCATTGGCAAAAAGGTGAACTTGGTGAACCATCCACCTCTTCCCGCATGGGATGTCACCCTGTACCCCTTTCAGAGTCTCCAAAAAATGAATGAATAGTACCCCAAATAGATAGAAAGATTAGGAAGTCGAATTCCCAAATCGATAGAAAGTGGAAGACTCTATCTACCAGGATTATTTCATTGGGTGTGCAATGGAGGTTCACAAGTAGTGTAGGGTAGTCTAGGTTGGTGGTTCCGCCTCACGTGAAAAATATACTGTAAGTCAGTGGGTTCAGTCATCTCAAGTTTTCAAGTAAAGCTTGAAAACAAAAACCTCCAAAAAGCACCATCCAATAGTTTGCTTTTTGTGAACCATCCTTCACCTCCGCTATCTGTGTCTGTTCCCGAATGTGCAAGTCCTGCACTGTTTTTGGACGCCCAACTGATGCCAGAAGTCCTGCACAAGCCGTGTTTCCAAAAAAGAACATCTTCAAAGTGGGATAACCATTTCAAATATCTGGTTAGCTGCTTACTTTCCGGAGAACCCTTGAATTCCTGAATGGTCCTCCGTGGTACACCTGACTTAACATTGAGATGCTTCAAGTGACATCCCCCTTCTTCCAGCAAGCTTGTCGTTTCACGTTCCCTCCATCTCTCCCATCTCCCATTCTCGCCGAGCATCATGCCATAGGAGGCCAAGGAGTACAGCACCGGACGGCCCACGCCCACCGCCTGTGCTCTCATGCACCGAAGACGGTCGGACACCCCGGTCCCAGAGGCGACGCCGGTCGATGTGCGGAACATGACACGATGCTCAATCGATGTTTCGGTGGTAGAACAGGGGTTTAGGGTAGGGCCTACGTAGGGCTGGTCAGCGTTTATACTTTGATCTCCAGTGACCGCTCGTCGTTTCATGCGACTATGGACGGCTCGCGTGTGCGCGAGTCGTTTCAGCGTTTACTATGATGGCTAGCAGCAAATCAAAGCTTCGTTGGACCATTTGGGATCTTTCAGAAAGGCACTGGTTCATGACTTGCATCAAAAGCCAAACTCAAGTAAGTGCAGTTGGTGGATCTATGATCACTGACCAGTTGCCATGCTGATCCATGCTGCATGAGTCACGGCATGAGGCCTCTTAAAGCCCATGTTTCCATGATGGGCATGTGTGTCGCGCTCGCACATGGAATGCGTGGCTCATGCTCAGTTGGAGTGGGCCATTGGCTCAAAGTCGGATGCTTCGAACCAATCCAACTCTCCTGAGCGGCACATAGTTAGTATAGGCGTCTTGTATATAAATAGAATAAACACATGTACTAGTCACTTATGTGACAGAACTGGTTTGGACCAAGAGGAAGTCTAAAAGCTCACTTGCCCCGGCCAAAGGCCCGCCTTTCCGTCCCATGTTTGGCATGTTTGGCACACTTCACTCGCCCGGCACGACACGTGGGGCCAGCCACTCCGCGCCTGTGCACCCAGTGCCACGGCTTTGAAGATATCGCCACCGCGGCGCACGCCGCCATCGATGAAGACCGCAAAGTTCTCCTGAAGACCGAGCTTTGGAGACGGACCGGTGAAGACCGGTTTTTTTCACCGCCCAGGAGAAAACCATCATCAAATGCAAATCCATGCGTTTGGTTCTTAAGTGATGCCCAGTGCAGCATCCAGTTACCACCATAGCTAGTAACCAGTGGTTCCAAAGACTAAAACCATAGACCTAGAAACCCTGGTTCTGTACAAAGAGGTAACTGGCATCCACTGGGATGCCTTCTTCCTCTACTTTTTCTTCATCTACTAGTAGCCTCCTCTACCCCCCGGAAAGAAATCCCCGGTCGTTGATACAAATCAGGAGACGACCAAGCTCCGCTTGGCCCTCCCTGTCTTTTTTCAAGGGCGCGTGACAACAAAGTCACAAGTGGTTGAGCAAACATGCGCAAACCTGGTTTCAAGGGGGAGTACACTCTGACTCACCTAACATGGAAGTGGAAAAAAAAACACCTTGCGATGATACAGGACATTAAAGAAAACAGCCTTGCCAGAGGTGCTGTTCCACTCCCACGTGAGTCAGTGAGAGTGAGAGTGCCTTTACGAACACGCGACCCGAGACAGACCCCCACATCGCCCGTCCACACGCCGTGGACCTCTGAACGTTCTGGTCGCACGTCGCACGTCGCGGTCCATCTGAAGGTCCGCGGTGATCGATGTGGTCCATCTGAACATCCCAAACACCCAGGCCCCATCCATCTGGTCCATCCTGAACAAATGCACTGCACGGGCGGCGGGCAGGTCCCCGCCTTGGTGGCGCCTGCCTCCTTCAAGGCCTCCATGACTTCAGGCAAGACCTTCGAATGCCGAAGAAGAGATGCAGTGGCGGAAGGTGGTCAGCATGGTAAGTGGCTGGTTTGGATCAAGGCAGGGTGGACCGATCCTGGTTCCACATGGTTGCACCGTTCCACCAGTCCGGTCGCTTTCTTGGCAGACCTTTTCACGTGTAGTCGGTTGCCCAGTCGTATCCCCCTTGTCTGGGTGATCTTCCACAACTAGCGAGCGAGTACCACGCACATGTTTATTCATATATGGCGACTCAATTCACATTGCTAGGAAACCATATACATCCATATATACCGATTCCATGACTCTCGCCGTTACGAATCATCCAGTAGGTCTGCACTAGGGACAACCCCCCGTCCCGCCCATTTGACCGCCCAGTGACCCCAGTCCTCTCTCGTCCGCCCGTCGTCCTCTCTCGGCCTCAATGCCGGGACGGCAGGTGTCCAGCTGCCTTCCGCCGTGGTTCGACAAGACGCAGCCCGCCAGCCCGGCCTCACGCTGCGTGGGCGGGCGCGAGGCCAGGGCGGGCGGTTGATTGAACTCCCAGCTACGGGAAGAGGACGAGGTATGGATATGTGTGTCAAGATCCGCAGCAAGGTGGCTGGTATGCATGATCAAGGTTCCAAAATGTTCACATAGTGTTTGCTTTGGGATCTTTTGATAGGCTTGTAGGGTCTACAGTCTAGACTACTGCTCAGGTTGTGGATGTTGGCGAGAAGCAAAGGACTGTAGGGGTAGATGAAGTTGTGAATTCATGGAATTGGGGGGGTCCCAATAAAGCTTCACACATGACCGACAGGATCAACGTGTCCCTGAAGTCCGGAATCTCTTCCTTCAAGGCAATGAAGACACATCCAACCTGCATACAACTCTCCTGCCTGTCCAAACAGCTGTGCGTCAAACCACAAAGAGACGGGACGGTGTGGGGGCGGATCCGGGACGGAGAGGGAAACCACCCCACCCGAGAAAAGGGGTGTGTCACGGAGAGAAGAAGCCTGAAAAAGGTGTACGAGGTGTATGAATTCTATGGATCATGACATGTTTATATAATCAGATGTGGATCATCCTGAATCCGCACTTCTCCCCCCGAGTCGTACGAGTCGTACGGCCTCCGTCGACGACCCGGCACCTTGAAGGCCATCACGGCATCCTCCGCACACTGCACTCCCTTCAGCAAGACCTGCGGCGACCGAACCACGCGCAGCACGGCGACCGAAGAAGCCACGACGTAGTGGCCCGGGAGAAGCCGCGCAGGTGCTGTATGTGAGAAACGGCAGCACAGCTGGCGCTTCGGACAGGGCAGTGGATGGGAGGTCTGGGAGGTTGGGTACGTATGAGAGTTGATGGGGTAGGTGGCAGGGCATGGCAGGGCAGGTGGCGTTTCCAAGAATCGATTCTCTTTTCACTGGTGCTTTCGCCTGCCCCTACAGGAAAAGATATGAATATAGCTACCTCCAAGTAGCACAGCATAGAACCAAGCCAATAAGAGATATACAGTAGACACTACAGTAAGCTTTAGACGGCTCACAAAAGCAGAAAAAAACAGATCTAGAAGCACATCGATCTGTCTCAAACCGACCGGACGCTGTGTTCATCGGACGCTGTGTTCATCTCGATCTTGCTCCATTTGTGAAATCACCAAGAAGGTCTTTTTTGGGCATCGCCATCATCTTGCATCCATCAGGATTCCCATTGTCATTGTCTTCAGCATGTTTATAGTGTTGCCCAATGTACATAATTATATATAGACATAACGGTTCCAAATACATTTTTAGTGGGGATCGACTTTTCTATTTGGGGGTCTATATACTACCGGCCCAGAGTGTTAGGTTCCAGTTGGGGACAATTCTACAAAAAACAGCAGACCTCAATAGACCTCATGCTTGGACTTTTTCGCACGAAGACTTGGAGAAGACTTCCATGACTTCCAGCCTTCATCTTGGTGATGCTCTTCAACCAAGGCACGTCCTGCGTTGCACGGAGAGACCGCTCCGCGTTTGTAGAGACCGGTCTCTCCCATCGTCTGCGCGGCGGTCGCAGGTCGCAAGTCACCGGACACGATCAAGCGGTCAGCTCGAACCCCCAGAAACCCATGGGTTTCACCGTTTCATGTCCCACATGGATCAGGCTGGAAGACTGTCATCTTCCTAACTCACATGGATCCTCGCGCAAACACATCCCGCTACACCCTTCCGCGGTGCAACCGAACGACGTCTTCCGCACCCTTTCCGTCACCCGTTCCGCGCGTTCCGCGCCCCGTTCCGCGCGAAGTCGCGCGCTTCGCTTCTCCGTGCGCCTCCCAGTTGAGCCCCGGATCGATGTAGCTGCTGATGGCGCGCGTGGCACCCTGAGAACGATCCACACCGCCTCAGAAACCGGTCGACCGACCCGTCGCTGTGCGTCGGTCGTCCCGCGTCGGGCAGTGGGGTGGGGCGTTTGTGGGCTCCAAGTCAGCCTACAAAGCAGGGCTGATGCATGTTGTGAATCCTTCCTCATGTGCAATGCGGCTGGATGCGACTGGGTTATCTGCCGGCCAGTGTATGATGAGATGGTGGATTGTCTCTCACGAGGTGACTCAGCCCTTGGGTGTGGTGGGTGTGGGTATGCTTTCCGCAACGGAACAACATGGCATCTGAAGCAAGTTCAAACAACAAACAAACGTTCAATGCAGGTATACCTACGAGTACCTTCTTGGAGCGTCCACATGATTTCAGTGTACGGTGGCATTGTTCGTTCTATTTCCCGGCTTGGGTTGCTTCAAACATTGACACACGTCCCAACCGACGGTCAAGCCTCCACACCTTCCGCGCCGCGGAGGGCGGCTCGAGAAATCGAGCCGTCTGCACGTCTCCACCGATGTACCCTGGGTTTCACATGGTTCCCTCCATCTTCCCACAAACCACTTGGGCCGGGTTCTGAACCCCGCAGGGTTTCTGCATCCGGTTCCGGAACGGTCCCGAAAACCCGCCGCGTTGGTTTGGTCCCGAACCGCGCCTTCTTCCTCGTCGTCGCCTTGCACGTCCGAGCCCTGTTGGGTGAACTTGTTCCTGCCCGGTCCGAAACCAGCTCCGGTGAGGACGTCCGGTGACGTGTCGTTCTGTGGTGTGGTTCGGACCTGTCCTGACCTGATCTGGGTGGTTTTCTTCACAGCTGCAGGCCTTGCTTTAAGCATTCTTGATCCTTCCTGTCGTTGTCCAGATGCTCGGATGCTTGAGGATGCTTGTGGTAGCATCCTGAGGGACTGATGGTGATTGATAAGTGACAATGGAGTTGAAACAAAGAATTATCCTAGGTCCTACAGTCTTCTCAACAGTCCAACTCTGCACCGAGCATACAAATGTGTGTCCAAAGTGTGAGTTATCTGTTATCAGCATCGTCTGCAGTGTCAAGCTTTAATGGAAATCCATGGTAAAAAGACCTGGGCGCAGCCACATCTCTCCAAAAGAAAAGTATCGCTCAACCTCTGCATGCACTCACCTACACAACAAAAATGGACCTCTCTTGTCCAAATATACAGTACCAAGATGTACCAAGTATGATGGGCAGTTGTAAAATCCTCAAAAAGGATGTATTCGAACACCATCGATTTACAGTAGCATAAGCATGGGCCATGCGTTGCATTGGCACCACAGGCACGTCAACCTTCACGGCCACGGCAAAAACAGCAAACCAATCAGAGAGAGAGAGAGTGAGTGAAAACGCCCCCTCTCCCCGTCCGCGCGACCCATCCCCCATTCCACCTCCCTTCGACCGTCCTTCGTCCGTCCTCACCGCGGCCCGCCTCATGTCCTTCTCCCGTCGGCCCAGCTGTGGGGCGTCCACCGTCACAAAGAGCGCCTGGACACCCGCCTGGACCGGAGCTGGGCAGTGCAGTACGGTGGAGGTTGGAAAGCCGTACTGAACCACACTCACCATGTTGTTTCTTCGAGTGCTTTTTAGTGGGTGTCTCACAAGGTCCCATAAAGAAAAGGAACACTTAGTGATTGATGATGGGCTTTATAAGCCTGCGTGGTTCTTCCACTTGGACATTGATAGACTGGCCAACCATTGAAGGCGAAACACTGCTCACCGCTATGACTCTTTCAATGAGCACATCTGTCCTAGTTCGTTGCGTAAATGGCATCTTAATTTTCTTGAACCAGCATTGTTCAATTCTCAGGTCTTTGATGTCAACTCTGTCCCCACAGGCACAGGAGCCTCAACCTCTCTAAAGAGACAAGAACACATTGCAATGGCGGACAACAGACTTCCAACCGAAAGGAGGCTGGCCACTTCCATCTGTTTTCCATTTCACCAAGATATCTGTGGTCAAAGGCACAGAGGTGGACCATCACTAGGACCATCTATGAGCTCAACCGGCTCAACCCCCTGAATCTTCAGGAGCTTCTTCCAACGGATTTCTCCTTCTCCCACCTCGCTTTTTGCTGTTCGCTGTGCCGCACGGTGACCGTGCCACACGGTGGTAGACCTTCACCAGCCCCGCAGCGCACCGCGCGCAGCGGTCACACTCCACGACGTCTCTGCCTGCTCCAACTTCTGCACGTACTCCTCGGACCTGCCGGTGCAACAAAAAATGGTTCCCACCTGGTGTAGTTTGGGGGGTGGAGACAGCACTGCTATGCGAATCCCCTCTGCTTGGGCCGGGTGGAGACGGGAGAAGCTGCCCCACCCGGTCGTGAGAGGCAGCACGGTCGTGTGCACCGGGTTTTGACATGTGGGTGGAGTCTTGAGGTCATCACACCGCCAGGGCTAAGCTTGGTGAAAAACTGGGGTTGAGCTGGTACTTCGCAAGAAGAACCAAGGCCCTAAAAACACCGAGAATTTCAAGAGCTAGGCAGGTGATAGTGGAGGGTTTGGCAGAGCTCGAGAAAATTGCAGGTCTCAAATCGGGATTGCTGAGGGCAGTGAAATAAAGTGAAATAAGGAACAATCACTTGGAGATGTTGCTGTTTCCATGTCACACCTGGTTCTTTCCATGGTCCACACAGTTTCTGCAACCCAGAACGCTCAAATGCTACATGTGGCAGTCATCTGCAATTTGCGCAAAAAGAATCTACGCCACTTCGTCACCCTGTCCAACGTGACTCCACGCGACAACCGCTTCAACTCATCCGCAAGCCACGCTTCAACCGATCTTGATCTTGTTCTCCAGGACACGCTGCCGGGCGCGGCGAACGGCGCGACGAGTGGCGGACGTGTGGCGTGTGGTGGGCCAGGCCTGGAGCGCTCGGGGTTCACGTAGAGTTGGGAGAAGACCGTCTGGTCAGGAGCCCTGGCGTCACCCGAACCGGCCGGTTCCGGTGAAACGACTCCAGTGCTGACCGCATCGACGTCCCGCATACGCCGGTGCCCCCAAAACGCGTTTGGCCGTCGGATCAGCGGTGAAACCGGTCGGATGAGCGGGGGGGAAGCTGTTGAGGATCGGGCTTTCGAAGTCGTTGCGGATCGGAACACTTCCCGGGCTCCAGTCGTACCTTCGTTTCGGTAAGGTGGGACTGGGGTGGGTGGGAGGGTCCAGTCATACCGAACCTGAGGCACTTGGAGCCCTAGGGTTCTTAGTTCAGTGGCCTCGGCAGCTCAAGGGAACACGCCGAACGGAACGGATGCAGCTCGTTGCTTCCACCCCCAACGAAGGGTCGATGGTGGACCCAGTTTCGCGAAGTCCTCTCCTGGCGGCCAACATTTCGTCCAAGGTGTAGCCTCATGCGGTGCCGTGATCACACCAATTGGTCCTAAGAGACCAAAAACTGAGGTCCTGAGGTTGTCAAAAAAAAGAAGGAACCATACCTTTCCATAACATACCTTTCCCTTAAGACCACTTTTTAGCCTTGTCATTTCTGTTCCAGTGTTTTGACGCACGCAACACGGAGTGTGTAATCGTGCGAACTGCACAATGGAAAGACAAACCTGAGATGAGACACATATAAAGGGTTATCCATGTTATCGTGTTGTTGTCCTTATGGCCTTCTGGTTTGCAGTGGATGGGACTTCCCTCTGGCAAAACACGGACACACGAAGACATGACATGCTTGAGTGGGTGTTTAAAACTCTCTCTCACCATCAGGGTCAAAACCTTTCGAACATCATCAAGCATCCAAAGTATCTTTGTTCACTGTGTTGATATATTTTGTGCCTTGAAAGTTAATCCATCCATTTGTTGCAAAATGGGGATGGATGGAAAGTGTAAGACCAAAAAAAAGAAAAAAAAAAAACTTCCTGAATTCAGGTGAGCAACTGCTCAAGGTGGGCAGCATGTAAGGCACTCCAGCCTTCTTAGCCGCCTGAATGCTTGGGGAAGAGGCTGGAGGAAACACTGGCACCTTAGGTTTACGTTGTAGGCTCTAGGATTGCTGCTCTACTCAGAAGTTCTATCTGGTTGAAGGTCACCCTCTTCCCCAGAGTTGCAACACTAACGGTATTTTGGGGGGAGGAGAAAGGATGAGAAAGGCAAAAGAATCACCGGCAAAACCTCGCCAACGCCTTCACGATGGCGACCTCGCCGTCCTCAGGGTCGATGGGGAAGTCGAACTGGGATCGTTGGGGGTCATCTATTTGGTGATGGACTTCAGTGCATGGCTGGCACAAACCATGTAGCTGCAAGATATAGCCAAAAGCAGAGTGGTGATGGAATTGGTGGTGGTTTGGGCAGATTGGGTAGTGAATCAACCCACAAAATCAACCCACAAATCGCGTACAATGTCCAGTTGTCAATAGACTTGCAATGACTTGCATACATGCCACACTTCCAACTCATGGGGTCTTGGGTCGTTGCAATCAGGGTGCCACATGGTGTCACTTGTTTCGTTCTTGGATGTTTCCACCAACTGACCATTCCATCTGTTTGGTGCGGAAAGTGCTCCCGCGTGAAACGCAGGAAGTTTGATCCACACCTGGTGGTTTGGAGAATGGGGATCCTCACATCACAATATGGGGGAACACTCTCATTGTGTGTTCAGTATGTTCAGTCATGAATACGTGAGAAGCGTCTTCTTTTCGTAGAAAATAAGCACACAACCGGGCAAAGTCTTGACAAACCAGTCAGGCATCACACCGACCACGGCCAGTCAGGCACCATGGCGTGTCAAGCGGCATGAAAACCTCATGCAGCACCTCTCCGACCAGTCGTGGCACTCAAAACGGTTGCCGACTGTTCGCGCCTGTTGCTCTGCGACTGTTGCAGAACTTCCGCAACTTGACTGAACTAGACCCAGCTGGAAGTCATAATCCAAGTGATAATCAACTACCACCGAAATCAAACGAGTCATGACTGGACTCTCGAGTTGCTCACGCCCGCTCCCCGTCCGTCGCGCCCGCTCCACGTCCGTCGCCCCGCCGGTCCTGATGGGCCAACTTCGCCAGGGCGGTCGCAGTGAAGTAGAGAGGCAAAGAGGCCGGCACGCCCAGAATCTGGGTGGACATGTCGATCTCCTGGCAGCTGAGGTAGCTGAGGTGGCTGAGGTGGCTGATTGTCGATGCTGCACTTCGTTGATGTGTTCCGCTCGCATGAGTTTACTTGCACAGGCATTTCAACCGCAAACAAACATAAACAAACCAATTGCTGCTTGGGACCTCATCCATCTACCCCCAAAATCCAAGCCTACCAGCCCTGATCATACCACCCCAATCCCCAAAGAACTCCACCCTCGCCACCCGAGGCCGAACGCTCCACCCGCGCGTGTCCACCCGCGCGCCCGGACGTTCACCAGGATGCGCGGGCGCATGGTGATGCGCTGGAAGGCCTGGCCGCGCAGGGCGGGGCGGCGTGGCCGGGGCGGTGGCGTTGGAGAGAAAGCACATCCTCGATGGTCCAAAACACGACACATCGAAGAGTCTGACATTTCTCTTCATATAGAAGAGTCTTGGATGGTTTTCTCTGAGAGAAAGCATTGCATTTCTCTGAGTCGATGACTGATTCTCTTCATTCCTTTTGGCATTCTCTCAGACTGATTCGAAGTCACCAGGGGGTCCAAGTCTCTCGTTAATGCTGCAGGATATATATATATATACACTGATATATATATATATATTATATATATATATATATGTGCACTGAACGCCTAGCATGGGTTACACAACATTTTATCTTGACCGTGGTCAGGTGAGGGGAAACATTACACAAAAGACCTGAAAGACCGAATGAACCCTGGAAGTTCAGTCATGACTCATGACTCATCCCCTTACAAGTGGTGTATCATGACTACTAGGTCCGGTAAAATGAGTCATTGGAAGTTCTGGGGAAGGCTCTTGATTCATAAGAGCCCATGACGAGGTTTACATGGTTTACGATCCAAATTGTGCGGGTTATGAATCAACAATCTAAAATTACCTAGCAAGTGGTGCGTTAGGGGAAAGAACGCATTTCGCCTCCCAACTTCCAAGACCTAATCGTTACATGGCCTTTCGCCCTGTGTTCATGGGTTTTTCCCTGCCTTTTCATGCCTTTTGAGGGCTGTTCAAGCTTCCAAAGCACCGGTTAAACTGGTGGGTTGACCCCCGCTGCTCAATGAAGGATGTTAAGTCAGGCCATGCCCTTCACGACTTCGAACAAACGTTCGCTCCCTCGAACGTAATTACTGGGGATCCATGCTACGGGGGGCGTCAGCACTCCCAGAAATCGAATAATTCAGGAGGGTAGCCAAGGTAATTTAGAATAGAAATATAGGGTCCAACCTTGCAAATACATAATCTGACTAAGCTATGAGAATACCTCAGCGGAGGCTACTTGATGAAAATAAAATGACCAACGCCAAGGCAAAAATTATGGATTTATTGCTTATGCTAGACGTCGGTCCCCAGTCCACCCTGGAGCGGCTCACTCACCCCAATACTCAAGCACTTTATTGGAAGGAGTGTTCCACTAGAATAAAATCTTCCAACCCAAAGCAAGATCCACCAAAAGAACGCAACCTCTTTCAGTCTGCCAAGCAGTTCTTATTCTAAGGCTTTCCGGCTGGGCTGGTTGGCTCTTGGGGGGGCTGGCTTGGTGCCATGCGAGCAATTATAGAGATAAAGAAAATTCTGCAGTTCGCCAACCTCCAACCACAACAGACTTGTCTCTGACCATGCCTTCGCAAATTCTATTTTGTATGTGTTGTTTCTAGTTTGGCAAGGCTTGTGTGAGGTGCTGTGAGTTGTGGACGGTTCATTCTGCTGTGGAGGTGGCGTTTTCTTGACCACTTTCCTTTGCTTGTGTCTGTGTTTTGGGGAGGCCTTTATTGGAAGGAGAGTTCCACTAGAATAAAATCTGCCTATCCAAAGCCAAATCCACCCAAAGAATGCAACACATACCTCTTTCAGCCTGTAAAGCAATTTTAATTCTACAGCTTTCTGGCTGGGTTAGGTGGCTCTTGCGGGGGCTGGTTTGGTGCCATGCAACAATTCGACAAAATAAACTCTGCAGTGCTACAACCTCTAAGCACAAAAAACTTATCTCTGACCGTGTTTTCATTTGTTTGTGTGTTTATCCATGGTTATTTAAGATATTCAAGATCAAGTGTTGTACGTTATCACCCGGAATAAAGCGATAAGGCAGCCAGTGTTACATATACATAGTGTAGTAGATTGCAGGCACATCCAAGATCATCCAAGATAATGAAAATAAAATCAACCAGTTCTGAGGTTCAAAGCCATTGTATCACGACTGATTTTACTTTAAACAAAAAAAAGACTTCTCCAGCATCAGCCTCACATTCTAAATTAGATTCTGTGGAACCAAGGTCCAGATCTTCCAAACACAGACAGCAATTGAAAACAAAAAAAGTGCCGTCGATTTTTTGCGCTGAAGGGGGCTGAGGTCCTACATTCCTACATATTATGTTCAAAGCCCCCTCCCCACTCGTAATTAGCCACGGATGCTGACCGCGTCGACGCGACGCACGGATCTACATTCCGATCTCGCACATACCCCGCACATGCACTTCCATCGATCGCCGCCCGGGCCATGTGGTTGTCGCGGAGCGTGATCTCGTCGTCGCCGCCCGAGGAGTAGTAGCCCCAGGCTTGTGGCTCCATGACCTGCCCCCCATCGCGATCGAAAGGGATCCGAAGGCGCGGAGATCGGTGCGAAGCGACGACCCTGACTGGTCGGGGGTAGTGAATGGACACCCCCGAATTGGACCGCTAGATATTAACTCACTGCCAGGTCACCAAATTCAGACCTCTTGGGGCCTCTCCCACTACTCGAACGAGGATGCTGGACAAACGCATCGAATGTCCTCCGCCACGTTCGCCCTCTTAAGAGCCAAAACAATCCAGGTCCCTTCACAGCAGTAAGATGGCACAAATCCAAGTCGACCCCAGAAGACTTGCGGATCGATGCTCCCCACCTACTATAGAAGCACGATCGCCCTCTTCGTCTTCCGTTCTTGTTCGGAACCAGGAGTTCCACCTCCACCAACTACGGACCCTCCCACCTCTCCGGACCGCCAAGGGGCCACCGTGGCGCGCCCGCCTCGCGGGCCACGGACTCGAAGTCGAAGGTGTTCAGCATGGCGTTCAGCGGCCTCGCGCGGGGTCCGAGGCGCTCCGTCCGCGCACGGGGAAGAGCGACCGCGCACGGGCCACGGGTAAGAGCTACACGACCGCGCAACACTCACTATGCAGGGTGTTGGGGGAGGCGGTCCACCGATCCACCATCCATGTGGTCGATCGTGGTGGTGGTGGAAGCAAGAAGTAGTGGTTTTGCACGTCTGAAGTTGAAAAAAAAAGATTGGAGAGGAGCACTCTACCCTAAGAATCTGGCCCTCTATGGCAGGGGTCGGGACCCTCCGTCCGGGCCCTCAAAGCCCTATTTGTTTAAGGGACCGGGTTCTTAGGGTAGTCAAGACCTTCCGGTTTCATGGCATGAGATCTTGGAGGCTTTCGGCTGCCATGTGACCTTCAATGGTTGATACACTCCGACGGAGTTCATCACATGGAAGTGGAAAATGGTCCCTTGGAAGGCATGTCAATGTGCATGTGTCCTCTACAATCAAGGAGTACTATAGTTGTCCACTTCCATCTAAGTGATCCGGAATGATCATCATAGGTCTCGAGCACAGCAATCCCGACTTGTGGTTTTCTTGAATTCTGGTTCTCCTTATGTTTATATAAAGACGGCGTTTTCCGACATGACCCGTCGACTCCGCGGAGAAACGAGCGCGCAGAAACGAGCATCAGCACTAGGCACTATAGGTGTGCATGAATCGTCTACACTCCGAGGAACACATCACATGGAAGTGGAAAACCACCTGTTTGTAAAGGAAAGTCGTCTTCCAAGGGGCCATTTTCCACTTCCATGTTAGTGAGTCATAGTGTACACGTTCAAGGCCCTCACGGTACAAACAAGACAAAAACATGAATTCAAGAAAGATGTCCATGAGAAAACCATCAAAAGTTCCTGTCAGGCCAAAAATACTTCAGTCAAGGTATGATCATTTCGCTGCCATCTTCTGTCTGGCCACATCAAAGCAGCGCTGATCCGACGCAAAGCAGCGCTGATCGGATGGAAACCTGTCGGATTGCCCCAGTGCCCCAGTGCCCATCTGCCCCATCCGCCGAAAAAAACCAGCGCCGTTCAGCCAAAGAAACCATTGACTCCCTCGCTTCAGATTCGTTCGTCCAAGCGGCGGCTTCTTGAATTCCTCGACCTCTTCCTCTGCCTGGTCACTCTGCTTGGTTGGTGGGTCACACTCGACCGACTCGAATGAACCAAGCAACGTCGCCTTTTCGCACGTTGCCTTATCCAGTTCAGCCGCTTGGTCGACGTGGATCCACACGTTCACCGTTCATCCACTTAAGCTTTATCCCATCTACTCTAGTCCAGGGGATTTTCCCTTCCTGCTGTTCAGCTGAACACACCTGCCATCATCTGCCCAGGTCTGTATATATATCTCATACATCTCCCCTAGAAAATCCCATACGGTCATCCCCCACCTGGTCGGAATCGACCTTCTTCTTCTTCGGCGCGGGCTTGGGCGCCTGCAAGTGAGCTTAACCCTGGGCCAATGTTGGTGTCGAAGTCCAGATCTGGAGGTAAACTAAGTTTCAAAACCAAGTTTCAAATGTGTGTGTGTGTTAATTTATACACCGGACCTTTAGAAACAAATACTGTGGCGGTTTGGCGCTCACGTGCGTGTCCACAGTATCTAGAACATGTCCACCTACAAACTTCTGCTATTTGGGGTGCATCTTGGTTGGAGGTGAACCTCAAAACAATGTACAATCTGAAGGTCAGGCGCGCATCTGCCAGGCTGAGTCACCTCATTTCCCATCATTTCCCTATAGCCACCTTCAAGCCTTGTCCTTGAAGATTTTCGGGGCATTGGCAGCTCACCGTTTCGGAAAGAAAAAGGCCGAAGAAAAAGCACTTGCCCAATAAAACAGAAACGTAAAACAATACAAACTGGGCATCTGTGTTCCAAGAAAACGTAACAAAGAGAAGGTTTTTTGCCCATGTCCTCTTCCTCTGCGAAGCCACACTCGTGTGCCCCAGAAATGCCCTCGCTTCTTGCTGCCGGCACGGGGCCCCCCTCGCGTACGGCCCTCGCTCGGCGGCACCTCAGGAATCTTGGCCACATGCTCGGGCTTGATGGTGGCAGCATCCACCACTCCCATGGTCAAGGAGGGCTTGAGGAGCTTGTCCATGATATCCTGTAGCGGAAATCACAGACTGCCCAGACGCAAAATCGCTGGAGCATAACCGGTGAGCTGGTTAAACCACCTACTCTTGTTCAGTGATTTATATAATGGGGTGACGGGTGTTGACCCAAATTACCCCAAAGAATTCGCTTTGTATGGCTTAATTAGAACACAAAGCAAAGTTTTCTCTGCATCTTTTGGGTTCTTGCACGATGACTCTAATTTTACAAGTATCTGATCCACTCAAACCATGGAAACGATGCACTGTTCTTTCCGCCCTTCACCCCCCAACACAAACAAACCTTTGCTTTCCACGGCCCCTTTCAACGAGAACCCTTCCCATCCGCCTTCGCCGCCCTTCGCCGCGCGCCGTTACTTGCGCGCCGTTCCTGGCGCGTGGCCGTTCCGCGCCTTGGGGTGGATGGGATCGAAGATCTGCGTGGCGTCCATGCCGGCGGCGTCAGTGATGAGCTTGGCACCGCCCGGGTGGACCTTGGCGAACTTCGTCAAGTCGTAGGCCTCGCGGACCGATGACCGCCGTGTGTGACCCACACGTGGCGGAGGGCGGCCGTGGAGTTCGGTGGAGTACGGTGGAGGCGTCTCTTCTTTTTCTTCACGCGCCCCGCGAGGCGCACCAGTCAAAAAAAGTGAGTCAGGAGTATCCCCCAGCAACTCCCTGGGTCACTGGTACTCAGTATCACAGTATATAAGATTAAAGAATGTAAAAGAAGATGCTGGAGAGACCGGTTGCTTTGACTTCATGTTCTGTGTGCTGTGGCACAATCTACACACGCGGTACCGCAAAGGTCTTACAAGGTCCATCCGTACACGGTAAGCAAAGCGGGGTGCGTGTCCTTTGCGAAAAAGCTGAAGTACTACTGCACCCGAGGTTTCTTCGCATGGATTTTGTTTTTGAGCACTAGCAGCTAGCAAAAAAGAAAGGACAAACGCCCTGACTAAAACTTCTGAAAGGTCATTGAAGCAACCAGGTCTAGTTCGGATTGACTGGAATTGCCACAGCTAACCCATGTGAGTTCGACCCTTCGTGAAGGACAAAGACCACCCAAGCTAACCCATCGTGCCAGCCTTGCCATAGAGCACAACCCAGCAATCCTCCTTGGTGTTGTGCTTGGCCACTTCCTCCATGCCTGATGACGAAAAGACGCAGCTTTGGACACCCCAAAACACCGCAAAAACACCAAACCATAATGACCAAAAAAAACGGCCACGGCCGTACGACCAGGAAAATTCAGCGATTTGCAGTTTCAGGTCTATTATATATGGCTGTGGGTGAAAACCTGGAGCCTGGTTGACCCGAGGTTTCTGTGGTCAACCAAGGTACTCCGGTTTTGACCAACAGACATATAGGACTCGGAAACTAGTTCGATCTTTAGGACTCTTCCTCCCAGGTCGGTCTCTCCCTCTAGCTCGCTACACACCGCTGGTTGCCCCAACCTCCGAGCTGGAAAGCCTCCGCTCATAAATCACCAGGCCGGTTTACAAGCAAGTAGGTTTATAGCATAGGTCCGAGGTCCGGATAGCATGGAATTCTAGAAATCCATTGGAATTCGAGTCCAACCACTTGCAACTGCTTGGCACCAGCTGTGCGACCAGTGCGAAAGGATCTGACCGACGGTCAGATGCATCCAGTGTTGATGCTTAGCACCGTCACGTGGATATATAGGCGTTGTAGCAAGAGATCCCATTGCTGGTGAAAGTTGATTCGCTCAGTGCAGTGGGTGGAAAATAGTCGAAACCATCGGTCAATTCTAAGTTCCATTCACCGGTCATTTACGTGTCATCTGTGCGTCATGGGTCGGGGATGGACAAGTCCAATCCTCGATTGCCACCAAGTGGCTCAGCACCTTGTCCGCCATGATGAAATCGGAAAAGAAGAACCGTTGAAAGGGATTCACACGTGCGACAGTCGCGGGGATGATTGATCCAATCAGCAGCTGCGGTGGCACGTGGCACAATCGGCCCGGAAGTCACAGACCGTTGAAAGCCTGTTTGGCAGGGTGGGACACTGCTTCTGCAATGATGCCTGAGTATCAGAGCTCATCAAACCACTACATTGACATGTCATTATAGACACTGCGGGCATGGGGACTGGGATGTGAACACAAGACGGTGCAAAACTTAATCCTGGTGACACATGAAGTAAGTGGCTGTAGGCTCCATGGTAGAAGCTGTAGGCTTGGCTTGGCGGGCTGTAGGCTTGGCGGGCCCCTTGGTTGAAATGTACATGTTCCTTTGCCAGTGCTCTTGTGCATGATCCTCCTTGGCAACTAAGCCGCTGCAAGTCTTGTTTCAACACCTACTCTCTGATAAAGGGTGAGAGAATATGTTGGACTCGAGGGAAGGTCGACCCATCCAAGCAAAGTCATAGACGTCATAGACAAGTCTTAGCGTACTCAGAATCAAATGGTCCGTCAGCGACTCAGAATCAAATCCCTGGTTGAGGACACCCTGCAGGTCAGGAACGGACCTCATTTGGACCTGAAGTTGACCATACGGAACTGAATGAGGGTTGCAAGGTGGACGAGGTTTGGACCTGGGTCAGACTGGACCTGCAGGGATCAGACACCCGCCAGACCTTCCTAGAGGTGCCATCCCGTGACATCTGTGGGCCTCACCTCCAAAGCCGGGAAACGTGTTAAAACGGTTGAGTGGAAACGTGTGCTTACTGCTTACACAACAGCAAGCACCATCTGGAAGTCCCAACAAATAGAGATGCCGGAGATGCCCATGGTTTTCAGTGATCTTCGACATGAAACCTGCTTGTGACACTGCAACCAGCCACTCGATCACAGCTTCCGTTGGAGCAGAAGTCCTCTCGAGACAGCGTGATCTCTACAACCAACGGGTGTCTTCCGAGAATTCACCCATCCCGGCACAGTATTAGGATGTGTTGTTTGAAGGAACATAATTACATAGTCCAGGGGCCAGGGGTGTCTATAAACCACCCTTGGAACCGGAATGCTGGTCTTGCCGGGCTTAGCCCGGACTCTGGACCGCCTCTCGGGGCAGCATCACGGGGAGCTTCCGCAGTGCGGACCACAGCTCACCTGTGCAGAACAAGGTCCGCGCAGAAGTGGAGAAGTGGGGTCAGGGTATGGTGGGTGCCAGGGGGGTCTCTAACCGCTAGCCACCTGAGGATATGGTCAACGTTGAGGCGATGTTTTTGTCCTATCTCCCATGCTACCAATGTTATCACACATGTGATCACCTCACCCAGAATTTCCAGTCAAACTTGTGAAGCATCTTGCTAGAGGCTTCCTGGCTGCGGCGGGACAACCTAAACAACGACCAATTCTTCCAGTCCTGGCCACTCCACAAATAGCTCGGTGGTGGAGGAAGCCAGGCAGTGGCTCAGTATAGGATTCCGTGAGCTAGCGGAAGTAACAGCTTGAGCTGTTCACTTGTCACCCGTCACACTCAACATGGAAAAATGCTGTCAGGGCTCAGGCGAACACAAATCCATGACTGTGAGAAACATAGTACACGTCGGCAGTACTGGGCATGCTGGCATGCCTGCACAAAACTCCTTCAAACAGGAACAACGTGTACCACATGCAGAGTGCGTCATGCCCTGAAAGTCGTTGCCTGTGTCAAACCACGGACTTTCTGCCACCGACTCTCATCTCACTGTTTCAATCCATTGGGAAGAAGTACACCTCCAGCACTACGAGAAGCCGTTTTACCCTCTCAGTGCCAAGTTGTATTCCGTGTACCGTTTACATCCGTATACCGTACTCTATGTTCGATCTCCAGTGGAGTGCGACGTGTGCATCAAACTAGGGAGGCCGACACCAGGCGCGGCAACGACCCCCTGGAAGGAAACAAGAACAGACCAGTCTACGAGGTCCTCCTCTACGAGGTCCTCCCATTAACAATGCAAAGAAGTGTACCCACCCACTGTGACACAGAGGACCTTCGAGAAGCCGCTTCAACCTCACCAGGTCAGGTCCCGTCCCTCGCGGCGTCCCGAGCGCTCCAGCGAAACCAGTCCGGTCCGGTCGCGACAGTCCGGCCAGGTCGGTCCGGCCAGGCCTCCCGCCAGGATCTCGGTCAACATGCTCACATAGGTCTTGGTCTCGAAGACAGCCACCATGTACCTCGCGGAGGTTTGTGAGGTGGTGACCGTGGTGACCGGACCGCGCGATGTCAGTCAGCAGGTGGAAGGAAAGGGAGTGACCGAGCGAGCGTGAAAAGAGGAGTTCAAAAGAATGAACTCTAAAGTTAATGCTGCGAACAATGGTGTGTCACTTCTGTTCTGCCAAAGGAATTAGATCGAGAGTTAATTTTAAGCAGATTGTCATTTTCCCACGCCAACGTGCGAGCCGGGAGAGTTAAACTGCAGTTAATTCTTTGCAACAGGGCACATCTCCACAATACTGCTTTGGACAATGGGCCCCCGGAATTAGATCTCAAGAGTGAATTCTTGGCTTTCCAAGATCTGGTGGAGGAATCAAATCTGAAGTTAATTCTTACCAAAGGGGGTCAGCGAACACAGGCTCTGGGGAGGAATTAAATCCATGAGTTAATACTTCGATGTGTGCAGAGTTGAACAGAATGAACTCTTGAGTTCTTTCTGAGAACAGTACGGTGTGGAGACATGGGTTGTAAAAAATAACTCGCGTGATTCGGGATGTAATTCTTCTGAAAATTCTTCTTTTCACACCTTTTCAGGAAAGGACTCGGGTCAAACAAGGTGAAGAGCAGTGAAGAGGGAGCTCATCACATCGGCAGCTGGGAGCTGGCTACCAACAGCGATGCTTGAGCGATGCGGCTGGTGCTGGTGAGTGCAGCTGGAGTGGAGTCCGATTCCGGTTTTGCAGTTGCTTGGCAAAGGAAAGGGCCCTTATGTTGACCAACTGTGCAGCCGTCAATCTCCCCTGTTCAGCGCTCCCTTTACACCCCTCTTTGGATTGGAGCACAGGATGAAGGGATGATCGTTCTCCGCCAGGATGTCACACTCGGTCTTCATTTCCTCAGTCAGCCGACGACTCGGCGAGCCGAAAACTTGGTCGGTGAAGAAAAATGAAAACACGGAGGCGGAGGAGGAGGAGGAGGAGGACCCATCTGAATACCATCCTGAAAGGCAAAAACTGAAAAATGAGAGCCAGTTCATGTGTCAAAACAATTCAAAACACGCCAAACACTGGACTTTTACTGCTGTCAGGAAAAGCCTCGCCGCCCGTGTGGCCGTGTGGAGGTTTTTCACGCGGCGGTCCTGGAACTCAAAGGGATACATTGGACTCATGAGATCTGTGGCCCTCAACACCATAGCAGGTTTGACAACGTCTGCCAGTCCGTGTCGTGCTGTGTCCTTTTTGTAGAAAATAGGTCCAATGGAAGAACGACTTCTGTTGATCTTCAGTGGTCAAAGAGTCAAAGAGAGTGCTGACTCCCTCAGGTTCCCTGGAAAATAGGAGGTGTGCGTGTTCCACCTGTTTTTCATGGTTTTTAGTGGGCTTGTCTCCAAACCCGAAATAAGAAGGTTGGGAAGGTGATCCCGACTCTTTGGACTTCCCGAGTTGGGGGGTGAATTTTCATGAACTCATCCAGTGGGAACTCAATACAAATGTCTGTTCGTTTTGGGGGAACCACTCAGCATGAAAACGAGACCTTTGAGAAAGCAGCACTCTTTCTTCTTCCAAACACCGGCCAGGCCGGGTCTTCAGACCAATGCGCCCAGAAGCGAGTGCGTGGCAATCGGTGAACACCGAACACCGGCCCTCAACACCATAGCAGGTTTGACAACGTCTGCCAGTCCGTGTTGTTGTGCTGTGTCCTTGTTGTAGAAAATAAGTCCAACCACCTTGTCTGATGGGTGCCAATCCACCAATCATCCCCATGTCGGACCTGTTTCGACTGCCGAGTTGCTGTAGGCATCTTGCCGTTCAGGGTCCTCTTGCAGGTCTTTAACGCGTACTTCGCCCCAGTCTTCCTAGCGGAAAAGCCACGTCGAGTCAAGCGGTTCTTTCTTCGCTGGTGAGGCAACATGCTCTAGATGTATGCAGGTGGTGGAAGATGGGTAGAATTGAATGGACTCAGCACTCTTAGTGTAGTATTTTTATATATTACATTGATCGTTGATCGAGTTGGACAGAATTGGTCATTTTGGTGCACAAAGGTCATGA